CCACCTACTGGAGTTCGAGCCTGCAACCCCAGCATGTGCCCTGACTGGAATCGAACTGTGACCTTCTAGTTCATAGGTCGATGCTCAACCACTGAACCACGCTGGCTGGGCTATTTGGACTGAAGTATGGCGCTAGTTATGTTTTTGGTAGATTTGAGGGTATTTCCTGCTAATGTTAATCTTTTAAATAATCCCTGCTTAGAAGTATTTCCACTTGTGCCTATCTGCCTATAAGCATTTCTGGAAAGGCACTGAATTCCTGTTTTTTTGAGAGGGGAGGGCTGTGACCCAGAATGAGCTATCTGCCAAATATGCTATCATTTCATCTCATGATACAGAAATACCAACTGAGTTATTAAATTTGATGTTTGGTGTTGGAAACCTCTGCATACTAGTCTGATAGTGTTTTAAAATTCCAGTTTCCATTTTACTATTTACCTATGTTATAGTGATTTTTTGCTTGTCTGGTTTCTCTGATTTTTCCTCTTAGTGTTTCCAAGCCACACACCAATCTTATGTAAAGCCCTTGCCTTTGACTCTGTGCTGTGTTAGTATAGATTCTGTCATTTATCTCAGTACTGCCCCATGTCTAGCACAGTGCTTGATACTTGGTAAATTCTCAGTTAATGTTTTAAGAAAATTAGTGAATGAGTAGTGACAATCTAGTTGGCTCTTTTGGTGGATTCTCATAGTGATCATTACTCTAGGACAGTGGTTGGCAAACTCATTAGTCAACAGAGCCAAATATCACCAGTACAACGATTGAAATTTCTTTTGAGAGCCACATTTTTTAAACTTAAACTCTATAGGTTTAAGTACATTGTTATTAACTTAATTAGGGTACTCCTAAGCTGGCCTTTGCTAAAAACGTCCTCAATCTGATTGAGGTACGTTCGCTGAGGTTGACCCCTTCCAACTCTCCCATCCACACTCGTCTTGTATACTTGTTTCGTCTATCTCCTTTCGTTCATCCTCTCTGTATGTCCAAACCATCTCAACATACCTTTCTCAGTCCTCGACACTACATCTTCTTTCACTCCACAACGTTCCCTAAAATTAACTTAAAAAACTTTACTTAAAGTTTTAAGTCAATTTCGCACTGTACATGCACACCCGCATGTGGTATTTTGTGGAAGAGCCACACTCAAGGGGCCAAAGAGCCGCATGTGGCTCGCGAGCCGCGGTTTGCTGACCACTGCTGTAGGAAATTAAAAGTATGCATACAATTCTGAGTTAGAGTCCCAGCTCCAGTTTATTAGCTGTGTAGCATTGTGAAAATAGTTTCATGTCTATTACTTTATTTCATCATCTGTAAAATGATAGTAATAGCATCTACCATACAGTGAAAGCTTTTTTTTGAGCCAGTCTTTCTATATGGCCATAGCACTAGTTCTCTCTCCTCAGAAGGGTCCTCCCCTAGTTAGTTCTTTGTGACTTCTTGTCATTCATGTTTCAGGTTAAATGTCATCTTCTCAGGGAGCCTTTCTGCATTGGGCAGGATTTGTAGTTGTAAGCCACAAAAACCAATTCTGGCTGATTATTGAAAGGATATTAGGGAAACTTATAAAATATCATGGAAGGCCACAAAGCCAGGCCTGAAGAATGGGCTAGAACAAGGGAAACTGGGTAGCAACCAAGACCCACAGCCAAAATTATTCACAGAACCAGTCCATGAAGTCACTTCCACCCCTTATATAGCTAATATCACTATCACCAGCTGACTGGACCTTCATGGCCATTGTAGCTGCCCCTTGCTGCCAGCATGGACTCTTTGTGTCCTCTGACTCTTTGATACCAGATCCCAATTAAGGTCTGAAGCTGATGTGCCAGGTTGGCAAAACCAGGGTTGTGTTTACACACTCTAGTTTCAAGGGAGCCTCAGAAAGAGAATCTTAAGTCTCCACCATTTTTACTTCATAGTGGGAGGGTGCGCTGCTTCTAACCAGACTCATTAGATGGGGAACTAGCAAAATATAGGAAGGGGTTCAAATGCTGGGCAACCAGAAAACACATGTGTGCACCTTATCATCTTCGACTTAGAGTCTAAAAGTAGCCCATCAATCTCTCATATCAACTTGTGTGTTTTTTTGGTTTTTTCCCATCATAGCACTTTTCACTACTGGATATGCTCTTATTTTATTTGTATTATTTTTTATTTTATATATCCCCTCCTGCTAGAATGCAAGTACCATGAGAGTAAGGAACTTGCCTGTTTTCATCACTGCTGTATTCTCTGGGCCTGGAATAGTAGCTGGCATATAACAGACGCTTCTTGTGCTCATTTCTTGAATGAATGAATATAAAGCAGTTAGCACAATTTCTGGTATATAGTAAGTGCATAATATTAATTACTGTATTGTTTTACATACAGACAACTGTAAACTTACATTTGCCACGCCCTGTATTTCCTTTTTAAAAGATAACTATCATCACAAAAAGAGCCCTAACTGGTTTGGCTCAGTGGATAGAGCATCAGCCTGCAGACGGAAGGGTCCCAGGTTCGATTCCGGTCAAGGGCATGTATGTACCTTGGTTGCGGGCACATCCCCAGTGGGGGGTGTGCAGAAGGCAGCTGATAGATGTTTCTCTCTCATTGATATTTCTAACACTCTATCCCTCTTCCTCTCTGTAAAAAATCAATAAAAATATATTTTAAAAAAAGATAACTGTCATCACAAAAAGAGAGGCAAAGGATGGTATATGACTACTGATGGGATGTAATAGGAGGTACACAGCATTAGGTATGAGTAGTCTTATAAAAAAACTGAACCTGCATTCTACCATCCTAGTTTACAGGAAATATAGGGGACAGAGAAACATGTTAAAGGACTTCACAAAGGCGCAATCAGGTGGATCCAGAAAGTGGGAAATTCTCTAGACCAAGTGACATGATTTCTCCAGCAAATAAATGACAGAAAAAATGAAGAGGAGGAAGAATTGTCATGGATTAAAAGGGACAACAACTCTCAATGTGTGGACATTATTTGAGTCCTAATTCAATCACAATGACAGTAAAAAGACATTTTTGAGCAAGTGGAGAAATATGAACATGGACTGAATATTTAATGTTACTGAGGAATTATTACTTTTTTAGATGTGATAATGGTATTATGCTTACTTTTATAAAATTGTCCTTGTTTCTCAGAGATATAAACTGAACTGTCTATGGATGAAATAATATGTTTGAGAATTACTTTAGGGGAGACTTGGATGGAGTATAGGTAAAACCTGATCAGCTAGATGTTCATAATTACCAAAGCTGGTGATGGGCATTTGTTAAGTCATTATATTTGTTACTAGTGCCCCAGTGCACAAATTCGTGCACATTGAAAGGAGATTACTTAGAAGAAATATTTTAATATCACTATTTGCCCTTTCT